TTTCTTCCAGGGCTGATGGTTTCTTCACATTGTGGCACCTGGCATTTTCCAGTGCAAACTAAAACCTGAAAGTATAGTCTGCTCTGCTTGCTTAAAATTTCTGGGCCACACGGACTAATATCCAGGGCATTTACATTTTGAAGAGGAGGAGGCATCTCAGTTTTGTTACTGGCTGTGGCAGCCTGCTCCTCACCTCTCTGCTAACAGTTGCTCATGCATAAGCAGGGTATCGGTAACACTGTCAATGTCGTCTGCAATTCCCACCTCCGGGCTGCTGGCGAAAACGCCACAATAACACCCATGCAAAGGGGAAGGAGAGCGTGGCTTCTGAAGACATGTGAAAGAGGCTGCCGTAAGGCCCACTTTAACTGTGACGGGCGCTTGGAGGCCCTACTGCCAGACACAAGGTCCGGGGTAAAACGGGGTGGGGAGGATTCCGTTTCAAATCATGGTCCTGGGAAACAACGGTAAATAGTAACAACTAGCACCTACCGCACTGAGCACATTCTGTGTGCCAGACACCATCCTAACTGCTTTAAATGTATTCACTGACTTCTCACAGAACATCCTGAGAGGTAGGTGGCACTTTCAGCTCCATTTTATAATGGAGGTACTGAGAAATGAAGTTACTTGCCCAAGGATGCCCAGCTAGTAAGTGGCTAAACTGAGATGAGCCGCAACACTTTCTTTTGCAGTCCTAAAATACTAACGAAATAGATGACGAATAATGCAAACACATTAGTTCTATTCAGTATGAGAAATGAACCGGGTATAAAAACTCAAGAGGGGAAACGATTTGAGGTCCTTTGTCAGTTATACTTCTGAATTCTAGTTCTGACCACTGGGCATACTGGAACTTATTTAAAGGTACTCATTCTTGGACCCCACATGAGCTGTTTATCACTGGAATGATCAAAATATTTAGATTACACCTTCAACTGTAAGGCAGTCCCAACTCACGAACCTCAAGGGTAGTATTCAGCCCAGAGCATTATTACATGGCTGCATGTTAATGCCAGTGCTTTTGCCAAAATTGCCCTCCTTGTAATGTTACCTGCTATATATTCTTAGGCATCTCATCACTAATATGGGTAAATTTCAGTGATGAATACATTACTACAAAATTTCTTCACTACTAAGCTCTTTGGCATACGTATCTTGCTCATGGACACCTATATTCAACTTAAGTACCTAAATTCGTTTAAGGACTGGCATTCTTAAACAGATATATAACTTGAAAAAATATTCAAGTACTTAACATGGAAACACACACATACACACTCATAGCCCATTTATATACCACTTATAACATCTCAAAAATAGCTGGAAAGGAATAGATTAGATTTTCAACATAAGTATGGTGAAAAATGTTTTTCAAAAAATAAAAAAGAGGATAGAAAATATACTGGAAAAAACAGATCACAAATAGTATACAAATAAATGTCCAAATCTCTAATATCACACATAACTTTAGTAAGCATTCAGACTTGAATAACAACTCTCAATGAAAATAAAGATTAGAAGACAAAAAGGACATATTAATACAAGACCAGAAGTATTACAAAATGGCGTTAAATATATTTGAATAAATAAAAATCTAACCTTCAGAGTTACAGTGAATACTAAGACTGTAAAAACAATGGTTCCAAAAGTCCAGTTTCCATATACCTGAAAAACATTCAACAATTACATGTACCATGAATACATGAGCCTGCTTAAAATAATAAAAAGCCAAGTTTAATCTTGTATGTAACTACCAAAGATTTTTGCATGAATTAATTAGGGAAATATTTGGTCATAAGATCAGGTCAAGATGCTGGGTTTTACTGTGATGCTAAATTTTCTTGGACAGGTACACTGCATAGGCAGTTGGTAGGGTTTATTTTCACAATTCCATGCATCATAAAACAGGGAATGCACTGGTATGACACAGGCAGAAAAAAAACCTTTTCTACTAATAGTAATGTTCATTAAAACAACTCATTTGGATGACATGTCTCTAAAGAGTTTGATATTGGCTTTTCCTATAATGCAGAATGAATGGTCTCAAATACAGACTAATTTGCAGACAAATGAACTCACATTTTTATAGAATATACAGTGACAGGGTAAATAGACTTATTGTAGTGATCATTCAGTACATAAAAATATTGAATTATGTTATACACCTGAAACTAATGCTATATGTCAATTATACTTTAATAAAAAATAAATAGAATAAAATAAATAGAATAGACTCTCATTTTTTGGCTATAAATATTAGCACTGTCCGCATGTGCACATCAAAGAAAAGCAGATACCATGTATAAATCCAAACGATGGCAATGAATGGCACATATGCTTACCAAATGCTGTCAAGATCTGAATGCGTAACATTAAAACAGAAAATGAAATGTAAAAGGTTTTTAAAAAAAAAAAACAAAAAATTAAGGTTAATAGAAGCAAAAAAAAGGACTTGATAAATCATACATGGTGTTTATGTTTAATTGCTGATAGTAGTTCTTATACTAATTGTAATTTTAGCAAACATACATAATAAAATCTAATTAATTTGGACTTCATGAACTCAACATGGGTGATGAGTTGCACATAGGCTGGGGTGAGGCTCCCCATGCACCACCTGAAGAGTTTGCTGAGCAAATGAACCATGTCAACAGGGTTGCAGGAGAGAACCTGCTTACTTTGTAGCAAACTCTTTTTAAGCAATAGTCAACTCTATGTAATTTATGTGCCAGATAAATATAAGATAAAAAGTGGAAGTCACAGAATCAGTCATAAAGCTGAAGAGATCTGAGAAACCATAACATGTAATCTCTTCTTACTGCTGGGCAAAGTTGACTTGGAAAACGGAAGTGGCTGGCCTGAGGACACGCAGAGAGATTCAGTAGGGCACTCTCCTTGGCAAGTGCTCCACGTGCCTACTCTAACTCTAAAGTGATGAATAATTTTAATGGATTCATACGAAACTAATGTCTGTTTGTCCAGATTCAAGAGGTTTTGTCCGTAGTACCTAATTTCAAAGTATCACTCAAATTCACTGAGCCTATCACTTTGGTAACAGATGTTGACTGTCTAGCTTCTAGACACAGTCATTGTACTCAGTAAAATCTTTCTGAACCTTAGCTTTGCTTCACATAGTGATTACAAAGAATGAATGACCATAAAAGAGGAAGCCCAGAAATAGCAAAGAACACAGAGAAAGCAGCATGCAAGGTGGTGGGCTGGACTTTCCACCGTGTGGCTGCGGGAAAAGCCCGCCCCATCAGCAATTCTCCTCGAACACAGCCAGGGCAAAATCACCCTGATGCAGGCGCTGAACTATGTATTGCTTGCTGGGAAAGCAATGGCATGATCAGTGTCATCTTTCTGGAAAACACTGTGCTCCCATGTGCAAGGGAAGGCGGAAGAGAAGGGAATTCCCCCTCTTTAATTACTGGGCAAGTACTGCAAAGATATGGCGGCTCCCCGCTTCGGTTCTACGCATGGAAGGCCACTATGAATAAGAACTGAGTGGGGCCAGATTTTGCTTTTTAAAACAGTTAAAGCCTTGCTCACATTAAAGTGTAGGGGTCCAAGGTCTGAAGTCCCAGGAACTCTCTCCATCTAGTACAACTTATAGCCAAGTTAAGCTTCCAGAGGTTTGCACATAAGCTTGCTAGTTAGACATGCACGCAGGAAGTGATATCTTACTTTAATGTTTCTGTTGTTCTAAGTAAGTTGTGAGAACTAAATAGCACACTTTTAGAAAAACAGTTTGCAAAATGATTACAGCTAGAATATGTGTATGACAGATCCAGGGCCTCTGGAAAAAAGCTAAGCCATGCTTATAATACCAAAAGATGTAGTAGTTTTTCATTTTTTTTTTTTTACCTTTGCATTTTCTTCCAGGGATGAAGTCTGAAAAAGAAAGTAAGTCCCAAAGAAGAATACTGTTCCTTCAAACGCAGCCAGAAATGTCCAATATAAGAAGGGGCCCAACTGCAGCATGGCATTGCCAGAAATCTTCCTGTTGAGAAATGGGGAAAAAAATGCAGGTTAATGAATTTCTGAAGGCTGTTTATTTAAAGATTCAGTGAAATGCCAAAGGTGCGCATGGGGTTTGACTCTGTTATAATGAAGGGAACCTCACCTGAGGGGCTGGAAGGCTTTGGGCAAAAGGCCAGACTGAGTTGCAGGTTTGTCTTTGTGCAGCCGGCTCCTGTCGGAGGCGCTGGAGTAAACTGTCAAAGTGCTTCTAAGTTAAAATTCTGGCCACTGACAATAATAATGTCTCAGTAATAATTAGCTCTCATTTACTAAGTACTTATTGTATGCTAATAAAACTGGATTAAGTTTTATTTTGTCCACATAAAAACCACATGAGATAGGTAATCACTCCCATTTACAAATAATGAGCCTCAAAAAGGTACATCATAATCGTTCCCAAACTTTGATGCACAATGGAGTCACCTGGGGATCTTTAAAAACACTGCTGCCTGGCTCCTATCCTCATTCTGATTTAACTGGCATGTGGTGTTACTGGGGCACTAGGATAATTGTAAAGCTCCCCAGGTAATACTAAAATGTGCAGTAATTTGGGAACCACTAGTACAGCAGTTAGGAAGGGACAGAGCTAGTATACAATCCTAGACTGATCTGACTTCAGATCACATGCTCTCAACCAAGCCACCATGGCTTTCCAACTGTAATTGTTAAAGTATTTCTTTCAATCGAGGCTTCTTCCTGGGAAGTTGACCTTTTTAAAGTCTTCGGGTGCCCTTTACATTTTTTTAAATTGAGTCAAATAACATGTTTGAAGCTGAACAGCCACGCTTTCATAAATGGCAGGTGGACAGATCAAGTTTAAAATCTGTCAAAAACAGCAGTCTTCTCCGTACAAGTCAGAATGTTAAATAAGGCTACCAATTCTAATGGAGCAGAGCTGCAGAAAGAAGATGGGTTTGTGCACGGAATTCTTTTAACTTCTATTTCAAAGTTCTCTTAACATTTATCAAAAGGTATTTAAATCACTCAGATAGCACACCTGTTGCCAATACTACCAAGCATGCCATCGGACTGCACTGAGTAAGAAACACCTTTGTAATGTAAATACAAATGATCCTTGTTCAGTTGGTATGGAGCGCTGTGGGGTTTCCTGAAAAAATGGCAGTTACACAACTTTTACCGACTAGGATTTCCAGGTGCCTGCAATCAGAAATGCAGGGAACTGCACAAGGCAATACAGCAATACGCTGCTGTTTGCTCTAGAAAAACTGCAGAAGGAAAAGAGGTAGCTGCTGCTCAGAAACAAGCTCTCTCCATGGCCAATAAGTCATGTTCCCAAAGCAACTGGGAGCCACAGGGAAGACACTGCCCTAAAGATCCTCGCAGGGAGGTCCCAGCAACTGCCAGCCAGTGAGGCTTTCAAGAGTCACGGCCTTGGGCTGAGGCAGGAGGTGGTTCCTGTCTTTGCAGCCAGTCACTGGATTTACATTACACACTGTGGGAAGAAATGATGGGGCGTCGAGGTATGCTGGGTTACAGGCGAGGCTTTCTAGCCGCGCTTGGATGAATGACGAACCTGTTGTAAACTCGGAATGGGACAGCCAATGAGCGTGCAGGGAAACAGAAGAGAGAATGACGGTGGGGGAGCGGGCCACCAGCAGCACAGGCCTGAGTGCCTCTGTAGGATGGGAGGCAGCAGCAGGTCGACCAGGACCTCTCTTCTGTTTTTCAAAGCTATAGAAGAAACATACTATGTCTCTTCCCTCTAGAAAAGAACTACAGTTTACGTTTCAAATTTCTCTTAAAAAAATAGAAAAAGATCCAATGATGTCATGTTTCACGTCAAAACTTTTGGTAAATGCTAGAGTCACTAAGTCCCTGAAGGTGCTATCTACAATATGCTGCACAAAGCCACAGGTAATGTTAAGTGGGACAAATGCAGAGAGAGCCACGTATGAAGATGAGGGCTTCAAGGTGACAAAGGAGTACTCAGAGTAACGGAGCCATCTACAACTCTGCGACAGGCTGAGAGCAGGCGGGAAGGAAGCTGCATTTGGGGCTGGGCGACAGGTACGCCATGCCGTTCATTTCTCTACCCGATGTGGCAGGCATAGCCTCTATGCAAAATCGTTTACTAATGCATCACTTACACCTATAGTGCGGGAACTAAAACTTCACGAAAACCCTTAGAATAATTTGTACTCGCCAGCTTGCTTCAAGTTTTCAGCATTCTTAATGTATGAAAGTGCTAAGCACCGCCGTGAAGTTAGGTGAAGGGTGTTTGAAGACTAGCTACCACCTACGGAAACCTTACCATGTGCCGGGCACCATCTTAAGTTCTGTTACATGTTGCCACTCATTTAATCCTCACAAAAACATCGTGATGAGGTCTGTTGTTACCCAGGTTTTGCTGAAGACGAAAGTGAGGCACATCTCAGTCAAGCAACCTGAGCAAGGCCGCACAGTAAGTGGCGGAGCTGGAGCTGGAGAGCAGGTGATTAGCTGGGGCTCTGGGGGGGACTGAACTGGAGCGGTTCTGCTCGCTGCCGCCCAAACCCCACTTCAATCAGAGTAGCTGCACTACTGGGCTTCACTTTTGCTGTTGTGTAAAGACAGAACCCTGCTGATCGGTATTTGAAAACCACCAGCCTGTGGAAAAGAGCACAGGGTTGGTCATCAGGAGGACCCGAATCTGATCTTGCTTTGGTCTCTCAGACCTTATGTCCTTAGGCAAGTTATTTCTGGGCCCTGGTCATCATTTTAAACATGAGGCTGGTTCCCCTCTAGATCTAACCTATCCCTTTGTGAGAAATACAGAGAAAAGCAGAACATGTTAAACAATGCCACGAGGAGACAATGGGCAAATTCTAGGTTAGGGGAAGTGCTGCAAGATAAATGATCCAGTTTCGTTAACAAATAAATTGCCAGATTAACCTACAGATTAAGAGACTGAAGAAGCCTATTATCCAACTGCAATATATGAACCTTATATACTGTTTCAAACAAGCATGCTATAAAAAGAAATGAGTCAGCTGGAAAATTTGAGCATTGACTGGATATCTGATGGTATGATGGTCTTGCTAAATTTTTAGATGATAGTGTACTGTTATCTTTTAAAGTCCTTATCTTTAAGAGATACGTGCTGAAATAACCATTTTACATAATGTTTGATATTTGCTTCAAAATGAGTCCTTGATAGGCAATACAGGGTTATTAATGAAGCAAGATTGGCCCTGAATTGGTAATTGCTGAAGCCAAGTGGTGAGGACAGGAAGTTCACTATATTAATAGTATTTTTGCTACTTTTATGGATGTTTTAAATTTTCCATAATACCTTTAAAATGTTAACAAATTTTATAAATCTGCTTAAGTCTACCAATGACTGAATGTGAGTTTTATGAGTCATATGGGCTAAAGACACCCCTTAAATTTGTGCACTTTCACTTCATACAAATGAACCACACTCAAGTCTCTCTACTGCACTTGGTACCCACTCTTTATCCACTGTAAATCAACATCTTTATCCTCAGCTGTAGGCTTAATTTATAAATTTCCAATTTAATCATAGGTTAAAGAACTGGTGACTGCTGAGTTGCTCATCCATAGAGAAAAGCATCTATTTCCAACTAACCCAAAATGAATATAATGGCTTGATGAGTTAATTGTTTTCTTCAACAATGCTGTTTTAGAATGGAGCTAACAAAGTGGGGAGGCTATATCTCAGGGGCAGTTTACAAGAGAAAGCCTAATATAACATCATCAGTTCAATCCATTATAGGAAGGAATCAATATTCTAAACTACCAAAGATCTTTGTGTGGTTTGTGTGTGTGTGTGTGTGGGGTGTGGGTGTGGTTAAAATATTGTGTCTTTATCTAAGACTCCAGAACTCTATGACAATGCAGGCTCAAGTTTTAGGAATTACTACTGATTTTGAACTAAATAGTTCACACCCATTCAAGTATAGGACCTACATCTAGGAAACATGTCATTTTTCAATTGGATGGTCTGGTTTAAGTAGCTAAAAATTCAGAACTAAACCATGTTATCAAACCAGGAGGCCAGTTCTGTGTCCTTCCTACCTGCAGATAAAATGAAACTCACAACTTTCAAAGCCTAAGGGGGTTTTAACTTACATATATAGTCGGGGATCTGTGGTCAGCGTGTCAATGTTGATGTGCTGTTCCAGTAGACTGTAGGCCAGGATGGGCAAGGATGTGAAGCAGATATTGTACATTGTAAGGTAAGCGGCATCATACAGTGGCTGTAATAACAAAATACAGAAGAGAAACACATGTACTGTAACAGTCAACTGCAAGAGGATATTTAAGAGTTTAGAAAAATCACAAGCTAAAACAAGACAGTTTCATACTTTTTGGGCTAGCAGAGGAAGTTTTGTAAATAACATCACTTTAGTGACTATAAAAAAAAACCCCTAACATTTGTAATGCATCATATTAATACACCTTCCCTTTTAAAATAGGATCCTACTCAGAATGTTCACATGCTCTAACAGTTATTAACTAATAACTTTTCAAAAGATTTTCAGTGAATAAAGACCAATTAAGCATAAGACAGGAAACCCTCAGGGAAACTAAACATAGGCATTGGCCAGCCTGTGTCAGTTCTTCATGCTTAACATTTTACATGGTTTTAAATGTCACTATCACCTTCTCCAGACTATATTTATGATATTGAATGTGGCCATTTACTAAGGATTAAATAAATGTATTCACAAAAACAAAGCTAAATATATGTACATGGTCATGACTCTCTGGTCCTGAGTTTCCTAGGCTCCGTCTGACCAAAGTTTCCAACTTCCTGCTTGTCGTCGCATAGGACAACCTGCAACTCAAAATGTTCAAAACCAGACTCATCGACTTTCCCTTCAAATCTGCTTTCTCCTATGTTCCCTACCTCAGTGAGTGGCCTCACGATGTTTGCAACCCCAGTATCTACCTTGGTGCCTGGTATCACTTAGGTCCTCAGGAACATTGTGACATTGAGTTTCTCTTCCTACCTCACTAGTCATTCCTTCTGTCTCCCACTCTCCTTGAGCCCCGTGTTGGAGTATTTTCACGCTCGGTGTTTGGAACTCACTTTATATTCACTCTCTAGGTGATCTCATTCAGTCCCCTGGTTTTTATACAACCCATTCACTGAAAATTCCCAAATACCTATCTCCAGCCCAGAGCTGTTTGCATATATCCAACTGCCTGCTTGGTACCTCCTCTTGGGTCTCCAGCATATTTCAAACTATGTCCAGAACTGAATTTCTGACCCACCCTCACCTCAAACTTGCTCCTCCTGACGTCTTGCCCATCTCAGGAAAGAACAACTAAATCTTTCTGATCAATCAGAACCAAAATCTTGGTTTCATCTTTGACTCTTCTCTTTTTCAAAACCCACATCCAATTAGTTAAGAAGCATTTATTGGCTCTACTTTCAAATATATTCAGAAGCACGTCACTTCTCAGTACCTCCACTGTGAAAACCCTGCAGGCCTTTAACTGGTATCCCAGCTTCTCCCCTTGACCTGCAGTCTATTCTCAACACAATGGCCCCAGGAAATGGCTACTAGAAAATCAGTCAAATCAAATCATTGTTTTGTTCAAACTCTCCAGTGGATTCCTTTATCTCTGAAAGTAAAGAAGTTCCTACAATGGCGTGGTTATAAAGTCCCACTCAATCTGGCTTCTCTTACCTGTCTGTCACCTCCTCAGTGAGACCCATCTTGACTGAACTAGCCTCTCCCTCTCTCTTGAACACATCCCTCCCCCCATAGCACTAATCACCTTCTAACTTACATTATCAATTTATTATGTTTACTGTCTCTCTCGTCACACTAGAATTTACGCTCTACACAGGCAGGGATCTTTATTTATTTTATTGATAGCTGCAGCTTGAGAGAAAGCAGAGCAGCCCCTGACATCCAGGAGCTGGCCTGGCACTCCCAGCGGGGCAGCGATGTTCTGGCAAATGCAAACAATCTCAAAGAACAGCAGAATTAAACAAGGCCACTCTTTGACCATAATGGATCAGGACAAAAACACAACCATTCCATAATCATGTTTGAAGACAGACAGAATATAAATATTGTCCAAATCACAATAATGAGCAACATCCATGTTCTGGCTAATCTGGGTGACCACTTACTGCTTCTCGTCTAATGACATGTTGGCTTCCTGGGTAAGATTTACTAAAATGCCCGGGCATAACATTACCCCTATTGGCTAACAATAGCCAGCAAGGCCCTACTCCTTAAACCCTTCTTCGCATCACCTAACTCAAGCCCAAACCTTCTAAGACTTCTCTAACATCTTTTTCCTTGAGAGGCCCCACTGTTCCTCATGGTGCTCTTTCTTGTTGCGTCGAGTAATAAACCTAATTTGATCAACTGTAAGTGTGTTCCCGTCTTTGACAACCTTGAACTCCTAGAACACAACTTGGCATACAGAAAGCATTCAATAAATACTGGATGAATGAATGAGTAGAGATTAGAAGCTATAACACATCTATAAAGGACTGATCTGACATTCTCAATATTCCTTTATTGAAAAAAAATTAAGGTTTTTTTTAAATGAACCTCATTTTGATGAAAATACTTATTGAGTTCAGCAGTTTTCTATGCAGTGCTAAATGCTGTCATAAAACCATCACCTGTGATCTGAATAAATAACACCCCATATTCATATGCATTTTTCACACATATAAAATGGTTTTTGATTAATCAAATGCATTTAAATGTGACACAAATTAACGCAATTATGCATTTTTCAATCACCGGCTACTAAACATACAATCACTACCATCGTGGGGGTTGACTCAGAAAGGCTGGGAACAACCTGAATAGAGGCATTAATTAGTTCACTCATTAGTTGACTTCAGAAACATTTACTGAGTGTTTACTAAGTGACTGATTCCGGGGACAGAAAAGATTTGTACCCTGTCTGCCAAGGAGTTCTAGAGGGGGAGGCAGAGTGGCGAGCTAACAAGGAGCTGGGAGAGCCCAGAGGAGGGGACCACAACTCTGGCCTGCAGAAGAGACAAAGCGAGAGAGAACGCGAGCAACTTTCGCAATGAGTTAAAAACACAGCTCTAGGCAGAACGCAGAGGTGCTTTTCTCCTAAACACACAAAGATTTCAGTTTAGCAAAATATGTTACTGAATTAAAAGTACCCCCCAAAAGGTGTTACAGTCCTTTTAATTCTCAAGGGAGAGGACTAGTCTGTTGGCACACAATGCTACATTTTCACTGGAAAATACCCATTTTCGCTAATGAGAAAACTGAACAAACAAACAAATACACAAAAACAAAACTCAGATTGACTGGTGTGTAATTTAGTCTTGAATTTCATTCAAACAAAAGAAGCATCAATCTATTTTTGTTCCACTATGGTACTTTGAGGGTACGTGAGAAGACAATTGTAATTCTTATATGCGTAATTAGAGGAGACAAGAAAAGTCCTGAAAATAAACAACAGGTTTAGTTGACAATACTATTTCTTGTTAAACCTGTTATAAATGCTATCTTTTCATGAAGGAAAAAGACCAGTACTCTCCTAGCTTTGTTAAAGACAGAGTTGCTTTTTGCTTAAAGACTCTGAATCCTGGTCCCATCTCTATATTCTCCAACGCTCCCCTCCAAGGTCCAGAGAATACGTGATGTAGACCTGATCTGAAAAAGGTTGATTACCTGTATATATTCCAGATATTTGCAATAAAGGTCTTTACATTCAGCACCAGCACATGGCCAAAGTAAAAAATAAAGATATGTACAACACATCATGACCTCAGAGAGACCTTCCTTTTACCTGATACACTTTTCCTCTAAGATGTCTGCCCGAATGTCACCTCACCAGAGAGAACTTTCCAGATCATCCTGTCTAAATAGCAGCTGTCTTCCCCAGTCACACTCTCCATTTATGATGCTATTTTTACCCCTTCAGAGCATTTATCAGCCCCTAACATAACACATTTATCTGACTGATGTCTGTCTCTCCCTCTGTCGCTCACTGTACTGCACGCTTTGATCACTGTTCCATCCCCCGCGCTGAGCCTAGCACACAGGAGGCACTCAAGAAGTATTTGTTAAATAAATGAACGTACCAGTTGAGCAAATGAGGAAGGCAAACACCAACTCCTACGGAAACCTAAGCAGACCCCAATAGCCCAGGGTTTTACAAGGAGTAAGTCCTTTCTGCCTTCATACAACTTGTGCTTGGTAAACATGTTTTAAAAGCAACAGATTCCTTTCAAAAGAAAAACAATGTTTTAACCAGCTCAAGCCAACTTCCCTTTATCATTGTGCTACAAAATTTGAAAATGTCTTTTTAATATTCGCATCTATCATTCAAGGAAGTGAGGAATTACAAGCATTTTGATCAATAGTAATCTGAATACTCAAGAAAAGTCGATTTATCAGAATTTATAAAACTCTGTTACTAATACTGCTATTTTGAATATAAGAAAGCTGAAGGCACTTCCTACAGCTGGTTGATGATTAATTCATAAAGTGATCTGCTTAACTGGCATCATGGGGCTGATGACATGGCACTGATGTTAAGAGACAAGACGCAAGTTCAAGAGAAAGATAGCAGTCACTTCCCATTGAGAAGAATACACTCTATTAAAAACACTGCCAAGAAATTAGAAAAAAAATCACTCCTGTCACGAGGAATGGAGCATGCCTTGAAATTTAGAAACTCAGTCTCTAATACCTGTGATGATGTCACGAGCAACTCAGCTTGGCAAAAATCACTGAATTGCTCATACATTAACTACGAAATTTTTGAGTCATTGAGCATTACAGCACCTTTATTTAGCTCTACTTCCACTAGCATCAATGCAAAATCCATTTCAGTTGTTAAAACAAACCTACAAACATGCCTGCCCATCCCACCACTTACGTATCAAGTTAACATACACCATATTCTTTATGTGATAAATGCTCTGAAAACAATCGAGGGCAAAAAGTGTAGAATCGCTTAAGTAATCTAAGGCTTTCTCCAGGAGTCCCAGCTTTTTGGCCAGCTTAAACATCAGTGTTTTTCTAGAAAATCAACCTGACACTCTACAAAAGTATGAGATTTTATTTAATGAAATATAAACTATAATGTTTTAGGATTATTGGAAAACATTGTATACACTGATAAAAAGAAAAAAAATTTTAAAGGACCTCAATTGCAACAGGATGTACCAAATAACTTTCAAAAAGAAAATAACAAAAAGACCAAAGCAAAGATATGAAGATCTGCTAGTTTCAAAATCAGGCCAAGAAGATCAACTGTCAAACCAAGGGAAAAAAACCCTTTTACTATGGGCATACCTCTCTAATCTCTACAATTCAACACATAAAAGGTTAAGTTATTAATAGCAAATAGGCTACATTATAACAAATAACTAGGGAAACAAACCTGTTGTGAGAATCCACAGAAGAACTGGTACAGAAACTGTGGCAAAATGAAACAAAGGTTCTAGAAAAAAAAATAAAGAAAAGGGTTATTAATGTTTTCACTTGATCAACTTTCTAAACTAAAACAGGAAATTGTACTCCAAATAGTCCACAGGCAGTCCTAAGTTCTTCTAATATCGTAATGCATTAAACTTCTACTCCAGAGTTGTAAGAAAACTAGTCAAAACAAATGATTACATTCACATTAATACCATTTTTGCCTTTCCAAAGCAGAAGATGATCTCACTTACTTTATAAGAACCTCTTGCTAATTCTTCTAGGGAAGCAATGAGCTCATACAATATGAACACCTAATGGTACCACACCATAAATGCTAAGTGAATTTGCAAAATCATCACAAAGCAGACTGACATAAAGCTCTAAGTATAAATTTTAAAGTCAATCAATGCCAATAAATAGTAAAGAAATTATTATAGTGTACACTGACAGTAACAAGTACCAACTAATTATTTTTGATCACCTACTGTATGTAAAGATGACACTGTGGGTGATATAAAACACAAATCAAAACAAAATTTCTTACTCCTAAGGGATTTATCATTTAATTGGGAGAATACTAAAAACAAGTAGATTGAAAAAATAAAAGCTGAGAATTCATAAGGCAGTAAAAGCCACTAGGTGAGATGATAATTACTGAAATTAATGTCTTTAGGCAAAGCTACTAGAACTGATATTTTCAACTGAGTGCCATCCTTTAGGGTCGGCTGTGACTATATTCGAGTGTTGCTCTCACTCGTTTATGATGTCTTTGGATTTTTCTTTCGGAGGCACCTTCAATAGCCCATTTTTAAGCCATGTCAAATAACCAGTCTCCTTCCTTCTGTCACACATTCTCACTTAGTTAATTCACCAGGCTGGTGGACTTGAGGCTGTTTTAAAAATCCAATGGATCCTTAAAGTATGAGCGTCTGCCACAGCTGAGGCTATCTGGGCGAATACACTACAGGATCTGGAGGATGTTTCTAAGGAAAACTGCTACATGTATTTTGAGTGTTAGTGCTCCCAAGGTCATCATCTGGCAAGGCGACACTCATCTGTATGTATCAGTTCTGGCAGAATGCAAAATACTCTCAGCAGCATTTCCAGAGTCATAGTTTACATACATAAAGTGTTCTGAGGTTGGAGGAGGCACTGCTCGGTGTGTGTTATGGGGGTGCTTTGTGGGAAGGGGAAGTCTGCCTTTCCCACTAGAATGTAAGTCCCATAAGAAAAGGAACTCTGCCTGTTTTATCCCATTACGAATCCTCAGGGCCTAAAACAACGCTTGGCATATGGTAACACATTCAAACTATTTGCTGACTGCATGAATAAAGAATCTAGACTTCGAACTAGGTAAGAAAGATGAACAGGAAGCAAAGCGAGGCCAGATATATTTTAAACATACAAGGTAAGACAAAGTCCGACTGTGGAGTGCAGTAAAAGCCAGAGTAATTCTTAGACAATGGAGAGTGAAGTTTCTGGAGACAAGCTGAAAAGTGGCATTTTCTAAACATTAACCTGGCTGAATTATGAAAGGAGGACTGAATGGAGAAATAGAAGGCAGGAAGAGCTGTCACTGAAGTACTCCAGGGCTGGCCAATAACAACTTGAAGATGCAATGGCAAGATATGAGGAAGGAGGGCATCTTAGCTCAGCCAAAGAGGGTCAAAAGTATTAGAAATCATCTTGGGACAAAAAACAGCACTAACCAAGGGATACTGCTATGTCAGTAACTACGTGACAATGCACACAGAGATCCTAATGAAGACAGAGCGCATTGCCCTACATACTCCCCTAACCTGGGAACAGGGGTATGTAAATTAATGACCCAGGATAAACAGCCATTTTAATGCTTGTTTTGTTTTTCTTAACAAAAAACATTCCTTCCATCTGGTGGCAGTTGCTTGAATTGCAGGCCAAAATCTTAGAGGCAAACCAAGCTTCTGGAATAGGATCAGATTGCTAGGCAGATCAGCACGGCAAATCTTCACAGGCTCTCCTCCTAGGGGGAGGTAAGAGAGAATAACCATCCATCCCTAGTGGCTGTTAAGTTTTTGAGCCCAAGGCCTGACGGACCCTAACTGTATTACAAATAAGTAACATAACCACGCTGAATGGTGGAAAAGGAAAAAAGTAACTTTGGAAACAATATTTTGACTATATACTTCTAAGGCTAAAGACAAAAAGAAGTGCACACAAATATATTACTCACGTTAGTTCTCACAGGAGTATGAGTTAGCAATTCTGAAACTATTTGAGATGTACACTAGGGTTCAGCAAATCAAGAAAACATAATGAGGATGAGAACCAGGTTTCTCACCACTGAAGAAAGGAGTTACAAATAAGGAAAAGGGAAAGGTTAGAATGAACCTTGTGGCACTGGCTGTAATCAAAGGTATCAGTATAAATTTGAGTTTAAATACTGAGTTCATACTGATACCACTCATTCTGGCCCAAGAACTTCAGCTCAGTAGCAATGAGCACTACTAGTACCCAGATCTTGATTTCTAAATACCATTTGCAAATAGAAGGAAGCAGTGATCCTTGGAGAAAAGTCTGAATCCAGGACTGGGGAAAGAAGACTACAAGATGAGCCTAGAACATCACGTGGTGCCGGAAAATAAAGAAGACTGCAAAAAGGGTTAGGGCTATGGGGAGGGAGGAATGGGGAGTTGCTACTCAATGTGTATAAAGCTTTAGTTATGTAAGACAAGTAAGTTCTAGAGATCTGCTGTACAATATTGTGCCTATGGCTTCATGGATGTATATGTCTGTCAAAATTGAACTGTAAACATTTCATGGGTACATGTATTGTATTTAAACTATACTTCAAGAAGGTTGACTTAAAAATTTCATCTCAAATCTCTTGCATTAAAAGGAATTTCTGGTTTCTGATTCATTTAATATACCACCTCTGTCGCTGACCATAAATTTCAGCAATAAGACTGTAAAAGAAACATGAAAAAAGGAAAAAAAAAAAAACTAAACCAAGCTGAGCCAGCGCTGGGTTAAACAGTCATAAGTTAAATTACAAATATTTTATCACATACCTTATAGAAGAAATACTGTACAAGGTGTGCTATTCTCACATAATATAGATGTCCGTGAGCCAACAGCAGTTTCTTTAAATGTTTAAACTTTGGAACAGAATAATCGCTATTCCTGGCTGCTTGGCGGCCTTCTTTGCCTTTAATACCTAAAAATAGAAAATCTCTATAGGGTGAGTATTTTATAGAATAAGCAACCCTCTGATTTGTCACTTTCCTATTTTTAACTTGCTTACATGTTCAATTGATTAGCTTACTTCAACTGATTAGTTTAGCTTTATTTTTTTAAAGCAAAAAGTGCTTTTAACAGTGACAGTGAGAGACTTACCAATAAAAAGTAAAATTATGTTTAATTGGCAATTACCTACTTATGACACAATATAAAATAATTAAACAGAATCATTATTTTAATCATTCCAAGTTAAAAATTACCCTGAAGAAAAAAATTACATCTGAAAAATTTTTTGAATGTATTTAGTAAGTGCTTAATTAGGCATGGCACCAGATTAGGCGCTGTATTAAAGCAACTCAGAGACCTGGGGTTTGTGGTCTAAGCTCAAAACTGAAGAGTTACGATGAGATGGTAAGGTCCTTATACTGCCTAAGTGTATTCAGAATGAATACACTTGGTCTGTCCAAAATGTCCATAAGGCAGTTGGTCCACACCAAAAGGTCTTGAAATTTGGTCCTGTCCAAAATGTCCACGAGCATATTTGGTCCATGCCAAATGGCTCTGGACAGGACCAAATCTCAAAGCTCTTTTGGTGTGGACCAAATGTGCATCACTATGGATGTTATAGACAAGACCAAATGTTCTGCAAGGCTGTGCAGGAGACCAAGTATTACATAAGCTCAAGCAGCTTTACATCATTTCCATACTCAATAAACAATGAGTAGAACATGAGTTCCACACTAAATAGTTACTTCCAAATGGAAAGAATTTGGGAATCCAAACATATATCCAATACAATAATCCCCAAGATACTAATTCCAATATTTTTCCCCCTCCAAAAACAAAACAAAACAAAAAAACACTTGCTGGGGGTGTCAGGACTGCTGTATCCCAGCAGCCTAACAGGGGGAAAATGGTGCAGATTGTAGAAAAGCTGTTGTTGCATGCCAATATATAAATTCACCAGTACAGCCCAAACCACGCACAAATATTGCCATGAGAAAATCAGCCAACCAGTTATCATTTCTTAGTCCCAAACTGTTAAGAATCTCAGAAGATATAGTACATCAACATAAGCAGGTGATCTGGCCAAGGGCAAAAAAAAAACAAAAAAAACACAATAAAATTTCATGCATGCTGTCAAAGTTGAGAGCTAAATGATCAATTGCACTGTCAGTAGGTTTAGGAAATTCACTTTACTTGGCTAATATAAAAAATATCCTCCAACTTTGTATTGCTACGTTCCACGAAGGGTAGGACTTTGGTGTGGACATATTCCATGATCAGATGAAGAACTTCATTTGATTAACAGTGATCATTCCCAAATTTTAAATTCAAGATGAGCAACCAAAACAATCTCTCTAGAATAATAAGACCACTCTACCTAAAAGCAATACTGATACCTTACAGCTGCCATCTCATTAGATGTTTCTTACCTATTCCCACATGGGATTCCAAGATCATACTAACATCATTGGCACCATCACCTATCGACAGTGTTATTGGGCTGCCTTTTAAATTCTTCACCATTCTCACAATCTAAACATTAAATACAAAAGAGGTATAGAAAAGGTCAAAGCAGAATGTGAGATTGTACTACATTGGGGGTATTTGCCTCATTCACACTTGTAAATGAAGGCCTTGCAAACAGAAAGATAGTTTGTGCATATATGTACAACAGTCTTGAATTCTCAGAGGTGGAAGAACATAGCTTTTCATAAGGTAACACCAGCACCCACTTGTTTCTGGTTCTGTGCATGTATGAACTGTTAAAAACCACACCTCCTACCTATATCAGAGGTCAATACTTTTCCCTCTTTAGTCATTGCTTCAAGTGTCCTTTCAGATCAGGTGTTGAATGTGTCAAAGTGGAGACTAGAAAGCCAATTTGGGGTAACATGAATGGGCCTATGGGTACAAAAGTGGGTGGTGAGAGAACAGTGTTTTCGGTTACCTCTCCCTCTCCACCTGCTGGCATTCCCACCTCCCGAGTGCGCCTCAACCCTTATTCCCATCTAGCTGCCAACTAAACTGCACTAAATCTCTCAATGACCAATATGATTTGACATCTTGTATAGGTAGCCGCATTTTAAAACGAGGAATCTTACAGGTGAAGAGATTTGCGGAAAGATGCCTAAGATATGTATATAAAGCCTGTATTTTCCCGAGTGTCCCTTAAACATGTGTCGACGGCACAATGCAGCTTGATGCTGTGTTCCTGGTAGGTACCGAATAAAATAAATCTGGCAGAGTTACTTGTGGCAACTGTATTGGGCAAGCAGCTGTCCTCCCACCCTATGTTTTAGATAATGACTGCTTTATGTGTCAACCCTCAAAACCCCATGGAATCTAGCAGCTTTTAGAAAGCTTATATAATTCAGTAGTTAAATAATGCCTTGCAAAATTTTGTGCTCACAATGGCTGTCACCAGGTAACATAAAGTCCATTTTCACATAACTAAAGTGATTAAAAATAATTTATACAAGGCAAAGCCACCCCGCAGTCTTTTCTTTAAAGAAAATTCAGTAAGGTTTTAGTTGTATGAAATACAAAAAACCACACGTCCAATCCATTTAACACAATAATGATGTTACTATGAAATGCTACCTTTCCCCCAATCCCTCACCTCAACTTGGTTCTTTTTAAAAACTTATAAGAGTGTCAGAAATAATTTGTAAGTGAGTCAAAGACAAAAATCAAAGAACCCAAACTAAATTTGTTCTTGATGGGCTACAATACTGTTTTGATAGGCTACGAAACCAGTTGCACCTGTTATACTGTGTGCAGGTGTGATTTACACCTCCAGGAAGACAAGAGCAGTCAGGAAAGGCCTAGGGAAGGCAATAAAATTATCAAGGGTGACAGCTTCTGCATGAAAATATAGATTAAAAAGATGAAAGCTCATTCTTGTGGAAAGATAAAAGGAAATATGGTCATGCACCATAAAATTGTGAAAGATTTAGATAGATAAACATGGAGCTTTTTACTGAGCCCCCCGGTCACCTGGATTTAGAATGTCTCTTCACCCTGTAGATAGCTTCATGAAAAAGAAATCAATTTACCAAAAACTATTTATTGACCAAGTGTAACTACACCCAATACAATGTGCAAATACCCAAAGAAGATATAAGGCTTGGTCATACACCTTAAGAAGCATATTATGGGGAATGGATACAATAATATCAGACAATCAGATTAACAATACATGCCATCTATGCAAGGGAATATATATAACACTGTCATCTAAGTCTTCCACGTAAGAAGGCCTATGATGTCAGAGAGAAAGTTAGGTGGAGTTAAATGAGCTGTTCAAGTCCTGTACCTGGAAGGCAATGGAAAGAAAGAAATAGATGGAAAAGACAACGTGCTGGAAATGAACAGATTTGGTGACTGAGATCACATGGAAGGGTAAAGCATGGGGACGTCAACACAGATTTGAAGGTTTTGAATCTAAAGACCTGGAAGTACAGCGAGCTCAGTAACAGGTGTAAAAAAAGACAACGAAAATGGTGGCTGTGCTCTAGAGATTGCTGAGTTGAGGTGATAATGACACACCCAAGAAAGTATGTTCAGAAAACAACTGGAGAAGTAAAGTAGAACTCCAAAGATGTGGACTGGAGAAGTGACTTGAAAATCATCTATATGGATATGACAGGTGAGTAGGTGATATCCTGGAAGAAGTGACTACAGTTAGAGGAAAAAAACACTGAACCACAAGGTCTCCAATATTCTGGGTGGGAGAAGCAGCACGGCGTCAGGAATTCAGATACCTGCCTGGGCAGCGGAGCAGTCAGAATCCAGGTGAGCAACCCAAGCAACAGACAATGAATGTATGGGGAAAAAAAAAAGGCTCTAAAGGTTGAAGAAAAGAAAGAAGGGCATCTGACTGCAGTGGAAATTAGGGCATTGTCCTAAATTAGGATGGGCTGTGTGCGGGCAGGCAAGTGCGAGGGAGGGAGAGGGTGTGTGTGAAGGAGAAGCAGAAAATACAGCGCCATCCGCGGGGCTAGAGCAAGCAGTTGGGGAATGGGAAGAAGCAAGACACTAACACATATACAAGGATCCAGCGTATACACAAACGAAAAAGTCTGCAACTGAGACTCCAATGTTCCTTAGACCGAGTGAAGCAGATCAGGATGAGCCAGAGGAACTGCAAGAGACAGCATATGGGATGTGGCCCTTGAGCTGGGTTTTATTAGGAGCAAAATTTTTGTTAGGCCAGGAGGAATTCAGAGGGAATTCCAGATGAGGAAATGGTAAGAGGAAAGCTTTGGAAGTTGGTGTGAGCATGGCACGTGGAAGGGACATGGAGAGGGAACAACCAGCAGTAGAGGATTCACACTGGGCATGAGTGACGGTGGACACAAAGTCTGTAGAGTTGCATGAAAAAGGTCATCGGGGTGGCCCCGAGTGTCACAGTGAGTCATCTGCCCTTCATCCCAAGGGATAGGAAACTACTGAAAAGTTTTTGAGCGAGAATACATGATGAGAGAAGTACGGTTTTAAGAAGATTAATTTGGGAGCCTGGGGAAACAGACTGAAGGGGGAAGGAGGAAGCACTGGTGAGATTAAATCAAATGTCTCTGTGTGAAGTCATAAGTGCTTGCTTGGAATAGGCTGGAGATAAAAGGTTTAACAAGATGGCACCAAATGAGAGCTATGACAAAAGGTAGGGCCAACAGGACTTGGTGACTATATACGGGGTGAGCGAGGAAAGGGTCAAAGGTAGTTTGGAGACTTAGGAAGCAAAGGAAAAATGTCACTGGTAACAGGAATAATGAAGACAAGGAATAACACAAACCGGCCTGAAGGAGAAAATTATAGTATCTGTCTTGAATACCAGAATTAAATGTGACAGTGGGGAGTTCGTATGAAGCTGTCTAGCAGGCAGCTAGGAATATGAGTTAACAAAACAGGCAAGTCAGGAGGAGAGACATTATCATCAGTGGGAGTCATGGATGTGCTTATCCAGAAAGACAGCCTGTAAGTGAAAAGCAGAGGGAAGACACAGTCCCAGGAAAAACTGATAATCACAGAGAAGACAGAGATGAAGCAAAATAAAAAGACACTAGGTTGCCAAGAAGTTTGAAAAAAAGGACTGTGGACTATCCCAGAAACCAAGAGCAGAGAGTTTAATGGAGGACGTAAGTGACAGTGTCAAGTGCAGTGGAGAAATGAGGGGAAATGAAAGACTGCAGGACAGATTCAGCAAGGGGGTCTCTGCTCTCCTCCAGAAGATCCAACAGAGTAACACGGGAAGAAAGAGTGCGTGGGGCTAATGTAATAGAGGAGCCAGGAGCAGTGGAACGCCGGCAGCCGGCACCAAGCTCTCAGTAGAGAAGTTTGGAAAGTGAGGAACTGGACAGCCAGCTTGGGAAAACAAGGTAAAGAAGAGGACTAGCTCAAACTGATGGGAAGACTCCTGGTTTGACCACACAGAGGAAGAAGCAGCCAGGGAAGATGTAATAAGGTACTAAAGGCTCTCTGAAGAAGAAACAGATTTAAAGTAAAGTAAACATTTGCACATATGTGTGTAGAAGTACCCAGAATGGAACACGAACTAACATCAGTTACCTGGGCTTTCTGTAACGGTGCCATCCGACAGCAGAGCACTGCAGTGCACTTCATACAAATCTGTACGAAAATGCTTTTGTAATTGTTAGAACTAGAGTCTTGACTAGAATTTAATATGAGTGACAATGTGGAGCCATCAATGATTAATCCATATTCCTGATGTTCTGTCCATGCTCTGAAAAAGAAAAAACAATGCCATATTGGAATCTATTATATGTTGCTATTTAGGAATCTATTTTTTTTTAAACCACAGAGGAGTGTCCTGTATAAGGGTCATCATCAACCTGGTTCCTGGACCTGTAAATTCTAAAGAAGCAATTGTCTGTAATAATGGCACAACAGAGACTTTCTATCACATCTCTGAGACTCAAGCGGCCCCTATAGATGGCACTAAGTTCTAAATACAAAAACAATGGACATTTAGTAGCTGGTCTCCATATAGGAAACTTAAGGTAAATTTTGGAAATTACAGTTTAATCGGTCCAACTCTGATATGAAGACAAATTATCAGCCAGTCTGAAAATTCCTTAACAACGCAAGGAGAAGACAAAATGGCTTTGGGGTGTACAAATCACAGAAGGCTTTTCCCTAATTTCTCTGCCTGAGTGACAAAACCTACCAATAGATCTGGCTTCTCAAATATGATGGACTACCTAAAAGACATGCTGTTCATTAAAGAATACCATATAATAATGATATATGTTCCTTAAATAAGTATCATTCTATGCGAGATTAGTGGTTCTTCCACCATAGCCTTCCCATTAGAGTCATCTGGGCAGAAAAGCCCATGTTTAAAGTCTATATTTGAAGATAAATTAAATCAGAGTATCTTGGGCAGGGCTTGTTTTAAAAAGCTCTGCAGGTAATTCTCATGCATAGCCAGGACTAAGAGGACTTAGTTGCCAGGAAAGAAAAATCTAACAGGTGCCAAGTATTGAAGAAAAACATATGGGGGAAAAACATACAACTGAGAAAATTCTACAAATTAACATTTCATTTTTTTTCAATTAAGGAAAAAACAGTGATCAATCATACACTCTCCTTCTTTGCTTCCCTACTCACAGAGTTGGCAATGTGAAGAAAACAGTGGCTCACTAATCAAGCAAGCAGTATTTGTAAACATCAACTCTAAGAAGGCCATATCGAAGGATGGAAAGAATTATTAACCATTCTTTCCTTGGAGAACAGGAAACCTCCTTGGGGTGGCAAAAGCCCACATGAGCGAGTATATCCCACCAAACAAGAAATTAAATGTAGTTAATATCCAGTGACTGGCACAGTAAATACATATCAGGAAAGGACAGTGGGTTCTTTGTGAGATGTGATATCTGACATGGAACTTGAAAGACAGGACAGAAAGAGGAGAGGAGAGAGAACGTATGTGTGGTACACTAGGAAAGTAAGTTGACAAGGTCACTTGAGACCCACTAACGGTTTCCGAGCAGGGCTTTGATGTGGGCAGTACTTGGCTTAAGTGCTTTGGTCATGAGTTACTAGGAATCTGATGGGGGCACCAGTGGTAAGACTGGGAACATGGATAAGGCTTGGTGGCCGATTTGAAGTGGAAGGGACAAAGGAGCAGAAGCTGGCAAAAGTGATTCTGTGTCTGAAGCCTGTTTAACTTGGGGAAAGACTGTACTCAATTCCAAACAGAAGAGCCAGGAAGAGGGAATGTTCTGAGATGGTGAGTTCAGCTTTCCATAAGCCCTGGCTTTTACAAAAGTGCCCCAGAGCTGCTGAATGGTGCTATGGACGGTAATGTGTCCCCTTAAAAGTCGCATGTTGAAGCCCTAACCCCCAATGTGATGGTATTTGGAAATGGGGCCTTTGGGAGATAATCAAATATAGATGAGATTGGGAGGTTGGGGCCCTTATGATAGGATTAATATCCTTATAAGAAGAGGAAGAGACACGAGAGTGTCCTCTCTCTGCCATGTACGGATACAGGAAGAGGGCAGCTTTCTGCAAGCCAGGAAGGGGGACCGCACTGGAACCTGGCCATGCTGGCATGCTGATCCCAGACTTTTGGCCTCCAGAAATGTGAGAAATAAGCTTCTATGGTTTAAGCCACCCAGGCTATGGTATTTTGTTATGGTAGCCCAAACAGAGTAAGATAAATGCACAAGTAAAACACATGTAATCTGGACTGCCTTTTAAAGTACCATTTGGCTAAAGGAAAGAAGATTTATCATAGGCAATTAATAAAAACCTGTTTACTCTCACTGATGTCCAAGTAACAGAAGAACAACAACTGTTTTAAAATAGCCCGTAGCCTCATGAATCTGAGGTATTCATTTTTAAAGCTTGTTTAAACACTAGAGATGAGGATACAGATACAGCATAGTTGCTACAAGCATGGGCTCTGGCATTGGATAGACTTGCTCCACCCCTTATTGGTTGCGTTGTCTAGAGTAAGTCACGTTGTGCCCCTGAGCCTTAGTTTCCCTATCCGTAAAATGAAGAAAATAAGACTGCTTTACTGGGTTGTCATAAAGATTAAATGAGAATAATTTAAAATGCTTAATGTTGTCCCTGGAACAAAGAGTGTGCTTAAGAAATGTTAAATAATATTGCCTGGGTGGGGGGGGGTCTTTGGATTTAGTGCAGGTTCATGCTGTGGCATTCTAGAAGAGAAAATCCATTTGCTTGTGCTCAAGGTAAATTCTAATAATTGGTCAATGTTGAGTATAGGAAACTGTATCTCTAGGCATGGAATTATTACATATCTGTGGCTTTCCTTGAGAAGCTTAGATCCCACAAGTTCTTCCTAAGCAACTCATCGAAAGCAGTTGAGTGTCCACACTGTCAAGTGTTCGGCCTCTTTGGAGTACTGGGGCACGAAAATCCACACGGAAAATGGCTCCAGCACCTCAACAAGTGTGCAGACTGCTTATGCTCATTTTATTACATTCATTTAAGAGACCATGAAAAGGAATTGTTTTTCCTTAACATGGACCAGGCCACAACATCAGTGCTAAATACCGAGGCCCTAACTAAACATTTAGAAAATGAACCACTTCTCTAAATCTTGAGAAGTGCAGGGTTTTCTTTTAAATTAAAGGAGAAGTGGAAAGTGCCAAATAATCTCAAATGGGCCATTAGCCGAGTCCTCAGGGAAGGTTCTAACTTACAAGCATAAAGCACCTGCAAAGAATGATAAATTGTAGAAAATACAGCCTTCCACATACGCAGCTATGATTTACATCTGTACCAATGTCTAAATACAACAAACTGATGCACTTTCTTACTTTTTAAGGCTTCTAGTACTTTTTGGAAATTCACGCAGCAACTTCTTACGATATTCAGTCAATAATTCATGTAATCGATCCTCTTTCCTTTCACTTTCTTCGATAGTTTTGGTGGTCAGTTCCAAGAGCTCGGTGCTGGTCTGGAAAAGGCGGCAGGCATAGCAGGTGGACTTGGCCGTCTCCATCTTGTCCCCAGTAAGCACCCAGACTTTCAGGCCTGCTGCGTGCAGAGCTTCAATGGTCTCAGCGGCCTGATCCTGTAGCCTGGAAGCACAAAGGAAACCTTGTTATCCTTGAAAATTCCCCACACAGAATCTGCAAGAAGGCTTGTTACAGAGAAAATTTTTATAATTCATAGCAATTCTGGAGACCTGATATGTTATCAGCTGGTTTTCTTATATATCCTCTACTCTTTCTGAGAGTGTTATCTCTGGCACACTTTTTACTTATTAAAGTACATTTCAAACAATGAGGTTTGGAAAGTTCATGACATCTCCTGGGGTAATTGGTCTTCAATGGCAGAATTAAGAATCATCGTCCTTAGCTAAAATGTTCAGAAACTCACCAAATGTTCTTATTCATTGCCACTTTAGCATATTTCATTGTTTTCTATCTTACCATACAAATACTTAACATGGTTCAAAACAGAAAGGGCTAGACACATTCTAATGAGATGAGATACTGAGGGAGGAGCTTGAAGTATAGGAAAGTCGACTTTTCTAAAAGAGAATTTAAACATAATTCTGAAAGGCAAGGATAGAAGAATACTTTCTTTGCGTTCCTTTTGGCCAGAGAATAACAATGAAATCAGACTAAAGGAAGTCTGTTAGAATTTCAATACTTTACAATGCGGCTGAATATATGTTTATAACTTCATGTTTGGGTTAAGCCTCACAATTTGCATTCACAATTTCTAGAAAATTCCTAAAATAGAATCTAAAACTTATTTTCTCAAGCAGATAAATGCTGGAGACCTGCAATCATGCCTGGCAGAGCTCAGCCTGTATAGTTAGAGCAAAGTATTTTGAAGTCTGCAAAAACATGCTCTTGTCTGTTAAGCCAGGTTAGAATGAGCTCTCGTGTTGTTTGCTCTACCTTAAATCTCCCTTCTGCTCTTGTCTGTCAAAAATCGTACCCATTCTACCAGTCATCAACTCAAATAATGCCTCTAGCAAAAGCTCCCTGCACATAGTAAAACTACTTCATAAGTATCTGCATAAATGAAGCAATAGCATAGTTAAGTACTCAAAAGACTTTAGGGATGACAGATTCATTCTTCTAAGTCACAAATATTTAATTTGAAAATTATTCCCACAAACAGTTCAAAACCTGGTATTTAGACAAAGCTGAATCAAAGATTTCAAAACTTGAGAATAAATGGTCAATCTGGACAGATAGTTACCACCCCAAATGCCTGGTCATTAAAATAAGAGAAATATAATTTTCTAGTTACTTGTCTTCCACTGCAGTGGCTCCAATTAAATTCATGTTTGTCTCAACATCATCAAAAACCTTTTCCAGTTTTTCTTCTCTGTCTTGTAAGGCCAATTTTGCCTCTATGAGCTGTCTGTTAATTCTTTCATAATCATCTGGTGCAATTTCTTTGAAGGCTACACAAAGTGTCCGATACCCATCCTAGAAGCAAAGTAGGAAATCTCTAGTTATCCAAATAATAAATAAAAACAAACACACTCTTTAAATACTCTTCTTGCTCTACCGTACAAAAGAGAAATTCTGACACATTTTTAGTTAAAAAAAAAAAAAAGAACAGATTGCATTAGGTTAGCATTCAATTAGGTTCAAAATAAAATAACAGCTCTTGGGGTTAAAAAAAAAAAAGAGCAGAACATAAAAGAAAGATTCTTGAAAAGTCTTCAAAGGCTACAAATTGTGAACAGAAACTTGTGCCAGAGTGTTTTACATTAAAATAAGGAAAATAATATTACAAAATCCTTCAATACAAAAAGAGACCATAAAAATAAGCTGAAATTCACTTGAGCAGTCCTTTAACTAGCACTCCATAAACGCAGTCATCTCTATTATTTCTCTTTCTCTCTATTG